TGGTCTAGTGAGTCATTTAGGATTGATATTTCTTTGCTGATTTTTTGTTTAGATGATTTGTCAAAGGGTGACAGAGGGGTATTAAAATCTCCTACTATGATTGTATTGCTATGAATCTCTCCCTTAATGTCCTCCAGCAGTTTTTTTATGTATTTGGTTGCTCCTGTATTGGGTGCATATATATTTACCAGGGTAATTTCTTCTTGTTGGATTGTTCCCTTTAGAATTATGAAGTGGCCTTCATTATCTCTTATTATGTCCTTCAATCTGAGATCTAATTTGTCAGATATAAGTATTGCTACCCCAGCTTTTTTTTCATTTCCATTTGCCTGGAAAACTTTTTTCCATCCCTTCACCCTCAGTCTGTGTGCATCTTTTTTTCTGAGGTGGGTTTCTTGTAGACAACAGATGTATGGGTCTTGTTTTCTTATCCAATCTGTTACCCTATGTCTTTTTATTGGAGCATTTAAACCATTTACATTTAAAGTTATTAATGATAGGTACTCATTTGATGCCATTTTTAATCTATACCCCTGTGTTCCTTCTTCACTTAATATTTCTTTATTTTTACAGTAGACCCCTTAGCATTTCTTGCATTGCTGGTTTGGTGGAGATAAATTCCTTCAGTCTTTTTTTGTCTGTGAAGCTCCTGATTTCCCCTTCAATTTTGATTGATAGCCTTGCTGGGTACAGTATTCTTGGATTCAGACCCTTTTTTTGCATGACTTTGTATATTTCATCCCATTCCCTTCTGGCCTGATAAGTTTCCGTTGAGAAATCAGTTGCTAGTCTGATGGGGGTTCCTTTGTATGTAACTTTCTGTCTCTCTCTGGCTGCTTTTAAGATTCTTACTTTGTCGTTGTTGTTTGCCAATTTAATTATAATATGCCTTGGAGTCTGTTTTCTGGGATTCATTTTGCTTGGGACTCTGCGAGCATCTTGGATTTGTGTGGGTTTTTTCTTCTCTATTTCAGGAAAGTTTTCTGTCATTATTTCTTGAAATACTTTTTCCATGTCTACCTCAGTTTCCTTTCCTTCTGGAACCCCTATTATTCGAATATTATTTTGTTTTGTATTGTCCCAAAGCTCCCGTAGGCTCTCCTCCTGCTTTTTAATCTTTTTTTCTAGAAGTTGCTCTACTTGGGTATATTTTTCCATCTTATCTTCTAGCTCACTGATGCGGTCCTCTGCTTCATCTAGTCTACTCTTGATGCTTTCTATTGAGTTCTTCATGGTAGCGATATCATTTTTCATTTCCTCTTGGTTCTTCTTCAATTCCTCGTGGTTCTTCCTCATTTCTTCTTGGTTATTGTCAAATTTCTCTTCCATTCTTTTTAGCCATCCTATGATCATTATTCTGAATTCTTGCTCTGTTAGGCTGGTTGCCTCTGACTCTACTTCCTTTTCTGGTGATGCCTGCTTTTCTTTTATGTGCAGACTATGTTTTTGTCTCCCCATAGCCTCTCTTTTCAGGGTGTCTGGTTATGTGGTGTTCCTTCTGCTGCGTTGATTTAAAGGTACAATATACAACACTACCAGGTACAACACAAGAGGCACTTAACAGGAATGTATTTACAATATTAATAACCTCAAATAAAGGTGACCACTAGAGAAAGGCAACTTAGGGGTTAGGGGAGAAGGAAGAAAGGTAAAAATAAAATAAAGAAAATTTTTTATAAAATTAAAATGTAAAAAAAAATTAAGAAAATAAAATAAAAAAAGAAGGATAAAGAGATATAAAGAGAAGAAAAAAAGTAATGACAAAATAAAGTTGGAAAACAGGGAAAAAAAGAAAGGAGAGAGAGAGAGAGAGAGAGAGAGAGAGAGAGAGAGAGAGAGAGAAAGAAAGGGAGAGAAGAAGCAAACTAAAAGAGAAATGGGAAACAAACTATATATATGTGGAGAAAATTGCCATAGAACAACTACTGAACCCAGCCAATGCCAGTAACAATACTTGGAGATTAATACAAACTACAATATCCACTATTATTAAGTAAGTCTATGATATACAGAAGTAATAGAAACAAACAAAAACAGAGGATTTTAAAAAAAAATACAATGCAACAATAACAACACAGGAATAAGCATAACCATTTCACTAAAAAGCATAAAAATTCACAATAATCAACCCTCACACAAACAATGCGCAAAGGATAGAGGGGAGAACAGTTTTTGTTTTTTTTTTAACTAGTTAATATAGTACAGAAATTGGTATTTATACACTTGGATCAGGGGTTGGAACTTAGGTCTATACGTATAGTGAGAGCTTTAGCAAGGGGTATACAGAAAGAATAGAGGAAAATCTAGAGCCGGAAAGGGATAGGATAAACCGTTGACTAAAAGGGTAAAGTTTAGTAAGAGAGTGATGGTGTAAAGGTCAAGTTGAGATAGGTTTGAATGATGCTAAAGTAGTGATTAAAATAGAATGGAGGTTATTCCCAATGTAAAATACAGAAAAAAAATAAAATAAAATGGTACTGGAGAGGAAACAAACAGACAAACAAACAAACAAACAAACAAGAAAAAACAAAGAACAAAAAAAAAAAAAAAAAAAAAAAGGAAAGAAACAAAAATTGCAAAATAGCAATAGTAATAGTGATGATAAAGATTGAAAAATGTAATAATTGAAAAGGTAAAATGAAGTAAGGAAAAAAATAGAAAAAATTTTTCTTAAGTAAATGCTATAAAAAGTGAAAATTAAATAAAAGATGTAAAAAATGAAAATAAAATAAAGAATAGTAAAATTAGCATAAAAATGTCCAGTAGTGGTCATTCACTTCCTCTGTTAATGTATTTGGCACTCCTGATTCTCAGACCAGACAGTCTTGCAGGCCCCAGCATTCCACTGCACCTGAGTTTTGTAAGGTAAACCTTAATTTTAAGCAGGTTATATCTTAGTTATTTGTGTCCGTTTATTTTTGATTAATAAAAAGAAAAAAGAGAAAAAAAAAAAAAAAAAAAAAAGAAAAAAAAGAAAAAGAAAAAAAAAAAAAAAAAGGCAGTTTGTAATTCGGCTCTTAGGTGACAGTGTTTCCGGTTTGACCTCCCAGTCTTTTTGGTTGCTCTGGCCTTCTTTCTCTATGGCTCTAGCTGGCTCCAGGACTATGTCTTCTGGCTCCAATCCCTTGTTTCCAGAAGGCAAATTCCCCCTACAATTTCCCCGGCTATGCCCCACTGGGCAGTTCTTCTCTAGTATTCAGAAGCAAGGGGATGAATGGGAACCGGTGCCAAGGTGTCCAGATGTTCCGCCCTTGGCGGGACAGCCGCTATTCTTAACACACTGTCCCTTGTCCCCTGGCGTTTTAAAAAAGCCCCTCTTCTGGGGGGGATTACTTCAAACCCAGCACTAGGTGTCGCTGTAGCCTTCTCTGGGCTCCGCTCCGCCTCCGCGGGCTGTAGTTCGCGCACCCGTCTACAGTGGAGGCAGGGCTGGAGCTCCCCGGCTACCGGCTACCGTAGCAGAGGCGGGCCGGAGCTCCCCGGCTGCCGTAGTGGAGGCGGGGCCGGAGCTCGCTGCCGCGGAACCCAGATCCCTTAGGCTATCCCCGCAAACTCTGACCTTTCCGTGGGTGACTGAAGATCTCCCCGGAATCCACGTGTCTGCGCAGCTCTGGGAGTCTCAGCTGCTCGATGGACCTCCGGGCTGTGCGTTTTCCACGCCTCAGAGAAGCTCTTTCCTTCCTGGCAAGACAATGCAGCCCTTCCTCCACGCCCGCAGCCCACCGCTCGCTGCCTCCGCCGCTGCGGCCGCGGCCGTCCTGACCTCTTGGTCAGGAAATCCTGTCCAGCGGACTCTCCCTTACCCTCCTTGAGAGCTCCGCTGTCCCTTAGCTGCCAATCAACTCTCCCTGAGCGACTCAGAAGCCCCCTTTATCCGTTCTGGGACCAGAGTCAGAATAGGTCCGACTGTTCGGTCGCCATCTTCAAGCTCCGCCTCCCATGGGGCTTTTAATATCTCCAAGTGACCCGAACATGCTGCCAATGCCCTTCAGCAGCGCCTGTAGTTATGTGCAACTAGTGCTTGCCTTTTGCATGTGCATTTGCAGCCCCTGCCCCTCAACCACTGGCCCTGCTCTGGTGGAACAGGAAACCAGGAACACTTCCTTGGGATGCTGAGGAGAGCAGGATGCAGGCACCCTGGCTCTCTCTGGGTTTGCTTGGGAATGGTTACACTTCCTGCTCTATCACTTCCTACAGTGTGGCTGGGGGGCAGACCTCTCAGAGTCTCAACCTCTTTCTTGGTTCCATGTTCTCACATGCTTCTTCTGTGGGGCTGCTTTGAGGGTGCAGGGCAAGGCTGGACGTGGATGTAAGATGAAAGGGGTGCAGCCTCCATCCTCGCTATGCTTAAAGAGCAGGCTTGCTCATAACCATGCATTCTCTCCCAGCTGCTGGTGAGACAGCAGACTCATGATCTGTGATCTTGGCTTGGGTGGCCAGGGAGATGGGGTAGAGGTGGGTAGCAGTGGTCACCTCCCCTCATTCTGATGGACTCAGGCCACACCGAGTGCATGTGCATCCTTGTGCCTAGAACAAAGGCCGCTGATGCAGGCCTAGATGGGGTTTTATGCTCACATCAGGCTGTGGGATGGGCAGCACAGCGGTGTGCCCAGCATTAGCAAGCCAGGCTGGGAGATGAAATGACCCCTGAAGGCCATACCATCAGGGAGCAGTGGAGCTGGAGGCAGATGCCAGGTTGAATTTGTCTCTCACTGAAGTCACACAGCAATGGACGCACAAAGACCCGGGTGAGGGTCAAGTCTACAACCTCAGAGGTGGCCTCTCCTCATCTTGGCCACCCTGTGTCACCTGGCACCATAGGCCAGCCGGGGCTGTCAGCTTACATCGGGTCTGAGGACAGGGAATGTGGCAAGAGGCTTCTGCTCACAGTGGGGTGAGGGGCAAGGTAACTCCCCCAGGCACACCCTGGTAGCAGTTTAGAAGCTGCCAGGAGATCCTCCAGGCATGGCCTTGCACTTTGCTTCCTCTTTACCCTCCAGTTTGCTACATCTCGGCCTTGGTCCTGTCCTGCTCACTCACCTTCCTCGTGCTGACCCGCTCCCTGGTGACACACAGGTCAGTGGCAGGCCTGACCCTCAGTGTAGAAGTGGGGAGGAGGTCAGTGTCTTATGGGCTTATAAGACCCCTGACTCAGAAGGGCTGTGGGGAAAGGCCTGGGGCTAGAGGGAGGGTAAGTCTCTGCAGGCCCAGGTTGCCACTGAGCCAGCTGCCCTGTGTTGGGCAGAGAAGTCGGGCGGTTCAGTCTGAGCTGGTGACCATCTGTGAATGATTCTAGGGCAACACTGAGTAGGGGCTGAAGTGTAGAGTTTGCCCATACTGAGAGGGGCCACCTGGGTGGGCTGGATTTGATGGGAGGCACCTGGGAATGGGAAAGGAAGAAGGAGCTGAGGGAGGAAGGTGCCACTGGCAGGAGAACTGCATGACAAGGGCACAGAGGCTGCATGAGCCTGATGCTTGTAAGGGTGGGTGAGGGGGTGATCTAACTGGCACTGGAGAGATTGTTACGGGACATTGAATGTCAGGCTGCCCACCTTGCCTGTTCATGGTAAATGATAAGGAGCACTGAGGAAATGTGAGCAGAGAGAGAAGGTTCTGTTGGGTGAGAGGGGTGGTCCATGTCAGAGAACTGATTCCTATGACCTGCACATTCATTGGACCTCAGATGTCATCCTACCCCTTTTTCCTCACAGGAGTAGCCCTACTGAGGCTGGTATTCCAGGCCCTCAAGCCTTTGCATTGCATTATGTTCAGGCACATTTGGTCTATCTCATGTGCCAATATGGTCTATCTCATGACGTAGTAATGAGATCCATGTCACAGGGGATATGCAAGCAGGGTTTTATGGCCATAGATGGGGAACCTTGCCTCCCACCCTGGTGACCAAGCTGTGAGTCACTTTCCATCTTTTCTGTTGTTTCTCACTTTTTTGACTTGGCTCACATTTAACCTTCGACCTGAATGTTTCCCTAGATCCCCAGCTCACCAATTTACTCGCACTCCGTATTTATCCTTTAAGACTACTCAGACCTCGCCTTCTCTGGGAAGCCCTCCCTGACCTCCAGGCTGGATTAGTGGCCTCCAATGAGTTCCCACACTCTGAGCTTCCCTGCCTTTGGGCTGTAATTAGACTGAGAGTTCAGCCAGTAGCTAACTTTGAGGAAGAATTTAGGGGGTATATGTGTTCCCTGAGATCCCTGCCTTCTCACCCCCATTCCAGGGCCAACCTGCAAGCACTACACCGTGGGGCCGCCCTGGACCTTGGTCCCCTACCTCAGAGCCCTCACCCCTCTCGCCAGGCCATAGTCTGTTGGATGAACTTCAGCGCTTACCAGACTGCTTTTACCTGCCTTGGTGAGCCCCTCAGCCCACCCTTCTGAGCCTTGACTGGCCCCAGATACTGATTGCAGTGAGTGAGGGGAGAGTGGTCAGCAGTTCTTGACTGCCCCTGGCTGTCTGCCTGTGCTGAGGCAAATTCTGGGATAAGAGTGAAAAGAGGGACCTGCCTGGCTGGCCTTCCCCAGACTCAGGAAGCTTACTCAGGTGGTGCTAGGGGACACAGGAGCCCTTGGGGAAAGGATGCCCCTAACACGAGCATGGTCCTGGGGTGCCACCAGTTGTTTACACAGGGGATAGAACCAGGGCTGGAAGGTGGGAAGCTTAAGGGGGCACATTCCTGCTTGGGTGAGGAAGGCTATGCCATGAGGGACTACCTCAGGAGACGATGAGATCCATGTTACTGGGAGTATGCAGGCAGGGTTCCATGACCATAGATGGGAATTCAAAAGGGGTCTGTTCTTGAAGGAGTTGAACTAGTTTAACTCCTGGGACCCTCCCAGTTCCTAACTTTCTGATTCTCCCCATGGCCTGGCTCTGTAGTGAATAAAGCCCTCTGAAGATCAAGAAAGATAGGTCGGTGTTGTGAAAGCCAGGGCCGGTTTTCTCTCCCTTTTGGTTCCTTCAGTTCTCACCCTGCCCTCTAGAACAAGGGCAGAAGGATGATCAAGGAGTAGATTTGATCATCTCAGTGGACTTTGTATCTCCCAAGCCCTGTGTACACGTCCCCACATAAACAATTAGCCAGTTGTTTCATCAGACAACTGTGGGGCGCCTACTGTATTCCAGACTGGCCAGTAAGAATGCAAGCATTACTTTAAAATGTAGTCTGCTCCCCAAGGACTCGGGAGCAATGGAGGGAAAATAACATTTACAAAGTACCTACTGATTTTCAAAGGGCTGCAAAGACATAATCTCATTGGATCCTCACAACAGCCCTGGTAGGGGCCACACTCCACATTTTACAGAGGGAGAAACCAAAGCTCAAAATGAATTTGCTGGTGGTACAGTGAGACATCAGAGCAGGAATCTGAAACTAGGTCTGCCCAATTCCAAAGTCTCTGGGCTCCTGAGAGTGCCAGGGGGGGTCTGGATCCTGCAGAGGCTGATGTTTGTTCCCTCCTCATCCTGGCAGGGCTCCTGATACAGCAGATCATCTTCTCCCTGGCTACGATGGCCCTGGCCTTCCTGGTGTTTATGCCCATTCTTTATGGCAGCAACCTTCTGTTCCTCCAATCACTAGCATCCTTATGGTGAGAGAGGCAAAGGGCTGAGGGCTCTGGGACCCTTTCCCAGAGGGCCACTAACAGTTACACCCTCCTTTCCCATCTGCAGGCCTTTCTGGCTGACCTTGGCCCTGGCTGTAACCCTGCAGAACATGGCAGCTCACTGGGTCTTTCTGAAGACTCACCATGGATGGCCAGAGCTGACCAACCGGTAAGGCAGATCCTGGGTTTGTGGCTCTTTTAGGTCCTCAGCCTCTTCTCCATTAGCTGTATCCTTCCTCCTCCACTGCCACCTCTCCCTTCTCTGTCAGGAATCCCAGTGAGTAGTAAACAGAGATTGCCCTACCCACAGAGAATGGAACAGTAGCCAAGCCTACTTCACATACATTGGTCACAGGACCAGAGTCAGACCATAGCATTTCCTGCTTTGAGATCGACATTGCTCTCCCCTGCTTTGAGGTCAACATTGTTCTAACAAATTAGAACTCTCAGTCTAATTACAGCCCAAAGGATCAACATGGATCCTCTATGCCCTTCACACTATGTGCCTCCCTCTTTGCAGGAAGGAGGTTAACAGAAACATTATTTCCCTGTTAAATGGTAAGGCTGTGGGAGGACCTTGGCCCCAAGAGAGACACAGAGTCAGTGGACAAGGAAACCAGAGAAAGGAGGTGGGAGACACTGGGGTCATAGAAAGATTCAGGTAGAACTGAACATAAATCCTAACTCTGCCACTGACTAGCTAGGAAGCTTTAGCTAAGTCACCCAATTTCTCTGGGCCTCAGTTTCCCTTCTATAGGAGGGATTGCATGGCCTGTCTCCCAGAGTGGTGGGGAGGGCCAGTTGGGTTGAGAGTTGGCCCAGCACAGGATGTGGGGTACATACAAAGTATACTCAATAAACAGCAGGTACTCAATAAATACACAGCAGCTGTGGTCATCAGCTGATGAAGGGGTTGGGGATGTGGGGACCTGATTTAGCCTTGCTTCTTCCTCACTCTAGCTGCGCGCTCTATGCAGCCACCTTCCTTCTCTTCTCCATCAACATGCTGGTGGGCATCATGGTGGCCATTTGGCGAGTGGTCCTCTCCGCCCTCTACAATGCTGTCCATCTTGGTCAGATGAACCTCAGCCTGCTGCCACTTAGAGCTGCCACTCTTGACCCTGGTAAGGTCATAGGCAGGGCCAGGATGGTGGATGCTCAGGCTGCCCAAGCTGCAAGGGAGGGTCTGCCCTGATGCCCTGACTAGGTCTATATTCAAACCTGTTCTCTGAGCTTGTCTGGGGCTGCCACATCAGTGTGTGCAGTGGGCCCAAGTGCAGTGCATGTGCCATGTGCTCAGGTGTATCTATGTGCTTTCATGCAGTGTGCAGGGTGCCTGTGTGTGTGTGTGTGTGTATGTGTGTAAATGTGTAGGTGTGTGTGTTTAGGGACTATCTGGGCTCTTCTTTCTGAGCGCTGCCATCCCTCACCCACTCCAGGCTACCGCACATACTGTAACTTCTTGAAGATTGAGGTCAACCAGTCGCATCCAGCCATGATAGCCTTCTGTACCCTGCTCCTGCAAACACAGAAGCCTCAGCCCCATCCAACCCCCCAGGATGGCCTCAGACTCAGGATGGAAGAAGAAGGTGTGCCTTCCCTTTGAGGTGCCTTCCCACTCAGCTTCTCCCAGGAAGGAGGGATACATCCCTCCCCAACATGCACCACTGAGCAAGAAAATGCTCACTTTCTGTTCCTAGGCTGCCTGTGGGAGAGAGAAGTGAGAATTTTCCTGGTCCATTTTTTTTCCATCACGTGCATGCATGTGCGCACACGCACACAGTTTCTCACTCCGCATGCTCAGACATCCTCTCACAGAGGAGGAGATGGCCATCTTGCCAAGAGGCTCTGGCTTTCCCCACTATGGACCACCCTCCACCTCTCCCTCTCAGGCAGTCTGTCCTCCTGTCTCCTCCCCCACTATCTGGGAAGTGTGTAGTAGGGAGGGGAAAGGGGAACACTAAGCTGGAACTCCAGTCTCACTAGTCTCCTCCACTTACCCAGGGGATTTTCAGACTGTGTTCAGATCTGGGTTCAGGGGGCTTCACTGAGCTTGCACAGTGACTAACAGAAGGTCTCCCCTTCCCAGGGATGCAGCTGCTGCAGACCAATGACCCTGTGGCTAAGGGAACAGGGCCCAGAGCCCGCAGAGGCAGGGTTCGCTGGGGTCTGACCTACACGCTGCTGCACAACCCGGCCCTACAGACCTTCCGGAAGAGGGCCCTGTCAGGTGCCTGGGCCAATGGCACCCAGTCCTGAGGGTGGGGAATGCCAAGGATGTGTCCCCATCTGTGTACTGCTTCCCCTCTTCCCAGCCCATTCCTTCCCTGGTTCTCCCAGCATTTCCCCAGCCATGGTAGGCTCTCTGCTTAGCACCAGCTCTGCCAGCAGGTTCCAGGATCAGTATCCCAGTGCCAGCCCCTGAGGCTGGAGGTCACTGTGGGTGTGTGGAGGTTCTCTACACTTTGTGCCTTGGGAGGGCTCTATTCTGCTCCCTTGGGTTTGGGAAGTTAAGGACTCTGAAGAAAGCAATCAATGGTTTAGGCCCTTGGTCCAGGAGCCAGTGGAACAAAAAAAGGTACATCCAGGTCCCTCCCCTCACTGGCCCTGCTGCCAGCCTCAAGGACCTCACTGAAGACTCTGCTAACCTGGATTGGTGATTCAAGCTGGGACAGCCTCGCTTCAGCAGCCCAAGAGAAAGCTCCTACTGGCAATAAAGTCATAGCTCACACCAAGCCCCATACCGAGCTTTCCACACCTGAGAGCTGATATTTTTGTAGTTGGTATGCCTTTAGGTATTATAAAAGAGGTCAGAATGCTCCCTGCAATAAACTTGTCCTTGAGAAATAGTCCTCCGTATGGGGTGGGTCATGTGGAGAAAACTGCCCACAAGGTTTTATGGGACTTGGGTGGGGTTGAGTATTCTGGTCACATGCTGGTCTGAGCCCCCCCTGGGTTGGGGCAGAGAAGACCCTCCCCATAGCTGCATCCCTTTAGGTGGTGGAGAGATTAGGGATTTTATGATGCCACCCCTGAGCCATGAGGACATTAGCTTTAGAAAGTAGAACGTATTCAGGGTCCTCAAGAATGAACAAGACTTGGGGAGCAGAAGAGATTTAAGGAAGATGGGGACAATGTGAATTAAAGTGTGAAGGTGAGGGCAGGCAGTGAGGGAGCTGCCCTGATGGTAGAAAACTGAGGATGCAGAGGGGAAGGGCAGAGAGGATGGGGGTGGCCCTTTCCCTGCTGGAGACTGGTGGAGGTCTGAGGCTGTGTAGGTGAAGTGTGGGTCCATTGTGGGCTGGGTGCTACAGAGGGTGAGGGAAATGTGGCCACTCCAGAGGTAAATATCAGTGGGGCCTAAAAAAAATGTCTACACAATTAGTGGAGACCAACTCCTTCTCCATGTTCCTTCCCCCAATACAGCCAAAACCACACATGAAACCAGGGGTAGGGGCAGGGCCAGGGAGCTGAGACCCACCTTCCAGGCTTCCTGTGAGGAGGACAAAGAAGGCAGGCTCTGATCCCACTGCAGCCCATGAAAAATGCCCTCTTGGCCCTGTGTCCATGACTGACAGGATCACAGGGAGGAGAAGGAGACTGGGTCTCAGCCCTTACTAAGGAACCAGTCACAACAGAATGTGATCAGGCTGGGACACTGGACGCCCAGTGCTGTGGGAACCAGAAGAGGGGACATAGTGTGCACTGGGAAGCAGTGGCAGGGCATCCAGGAAGGCTTTCTGGAGGATGTGGTAACTGAGCGAAGTCTCAAAGGCTGACTTAGCCAAGTAAGGAAGAGGGAACAGCATGAATAATGGTGCAGAAGAAGACTCATCTCAGAGCATTTAGAAAACAAGTCATTAGTTCTAAGGGAGGGACCTGGGAGAGCCAGTCAAAGTGGCCATGAATACTTGGCTGGGAAACTCAGAGCTTCCCAAGGCAGTGAGCGCCATGGATGACTTTAAAGCAGGAGAGCAGCCAGTTCATTTGGGGCACAGCTGTTTCCCATCGCCCCGGACTCAGGCCTTGGGCCCATGTTCTACTCCAAAGGCCAGGCCTGCTCAACTGTATGGGCCACAGAGACAACAGAGGTCCAAGTCAGGTTAGAGTTATCAAGCCGTAGCTAATCAGAGTCAACTGGACCCTTAAGCACTACCATGTCCTACCTCATCTTTTTTTTTTTTTTTAATTGTACTCATTCTTTTATTTAGAAATATGGAATCTTAATTTTCACCTAAGGATATATGTTTTTATTGATTTTTTTTTTTTTTTTTTTGAGAGAGAGAGGAAGGGGAAGAGAAAGAAAGACGGGGGTGGGGGGGGGTGGCGGGACGAGGAGAGGAACACTGACTGACTGGTTGCCTTTCCCTATACAGGACAATGCTCTAACCAACAGACAGTGTCTGTCTCTCCCCCCTCCCCCCCAAGGAATCAAAGTACAGAGATGGGTAGTGACTTATTTAAAGTGGCTCTTGCTGTTTTTTCAACCAGATACACAGTCCTTGACTTGTGCTGCTGGTGTCATCTGTTCAGTGGGAGCTGCAAGCTGAAGAGGGGGTAGAGAAGTGCCAAATGTAGACCAGCAGGAGGGAAGAGGGAGGCTGGCCAGCCTCCAAGGCTCATAGCTGCTACCTCAGGCTCCTTAGTCTCTCTGCCTCTACTTTGCTGTGCTCAGCAGTCCTGAGAGTTCTGGGCAGAGGTGGCAGAACCTCTCCCACGGGGTCTTGTCCTATGTGTGACACCCTTAGATTTGGAAAGGGACAGGGATGGAAGCAAAAGGGAGATATATATGACCCAGCACAGATAGGTGGTTCTTATAGTCCCCAGGTCCTGACCCCATCTACCTGCTCCCCATCCTAAGAGATCTGCAAGCTGTTGCCAGGCTCTCATCCTACCTGCTCCCTTCCCTTCCAAGTCAGTTACTGGTCCATCTGTTCTGTGGGAAAAGACTCCTATGAAAGGACTTTCCTCCAGAAATACCATTTCCTCTTCCTGAAAAGGTGGGAGGAAGGACATCCATTTCCTTTGTCTTCTCCCTCAACTCTATTCTCCTCAGACTCCTAGTTCCTTTTTCCTCACTCCATCACCCTCTCCTCTATGTCTTATATCCCCTCCCTTCTCTCACTTCTCCATCTTGCCTAACCTGTCCCCCTTCCACCTACACTCCCTGACATCTCTAACATGGAGTGGACCAGCAAGAGGACCACAATCCAGGCTCTTTCCCCATCTCTACCATGCCTCCTCACACGCTTACTGCATACAACACCACTCAAGATCCCAGGGAAGTCTCAGTAGCTAGTGCCCCCATTTACCTCGTGGGCTAATTTGGGGGGAAGGACATCTGCATCTCAACTCAGCTGGGGGCTCAACCTCCACTGGGCCACCCATGCTACTGCCTGCCACATAGTCAATGTGTGTTACACAGGCCTGTCCCATGTAGACAGGCCAGCTGGCCATCCTGACTCTCCAGCCCCTGTCCTACCCCTGACAGGGGCTTCAGGATCAGATGAAACTCCAGGCAGACACAGGGGAACATCAGAAATGCCATTTATTCCTCTGCTGTCTCCAGGCTGGCTGGCCTCCTCGGAGGGATAGGCTACAGATGCACACTTGGAGAGAAAGGCAGAGCAGGTGTTCAGGATGGCAGGACAGAGGCTAAAGGAGGAAGGGTGAGAAGAGGAAGGCCCCCCGATCCTCCTGTCCTGTCTGAGACGGAGGCAGAGAATTCGGAGCCCCCAAGTTATTAGGGAACGCGCCAGGGCAGTAGGAGCTCAAGCAGGTCACTGAGAGTCTTAAAGCCACACCAGCCTCTGTCCCTCTATCCCATTCCTTTCTCCTGTGCCCTGTTTGCTTCAGGCTATTTCCCTGCTAAGGCCTAAGCCCCCAGCTTTCACCAGCTGGTCAGTCCCAGTCCCTGGATTCCACCGGTAAGGCTTTCCCCTGTTGTTTAGGGTGGTGCCCTGTTAGCATGCTAGGGGGCATGGGCCATGTCGTTAGCAGCAAGGAATACCAAAGGCCCATGAGTTATGGGATCAAATTCTGACCTAATCACCAGCATTGAGCAAGTCTAGAAGTGGATGTGGCGAGTGCCCCAGAAGAGATGAGAAGGGGAGGTAGGAAGATGTGATATCCTCAAGCAGGTCTTAGGAGTTGCCAACCCCAGACTTCTTCATGGACATCACCTGAGTCAGGGGGAAGAGTCAAGGAGGCCCTGGGGCTGGGGCAGCTCAGTTGGGGGTCGGGGGGCAGAGCTAGAAGGAAGTGAAGAGGAGGAGAAGGAGGCTCTGGCCCAGCAGAAGCAGGCCTGGGGGCTGCTGCCCAGAGACCCCACCCCTTACTTCTGCAGCCTCCCGGCTGAGGTAGATAATGACCACGTTGTCCTCAGGATCTGACGGCTGCACCTCGTTGTCGACCGTATAGCATCCCTTACCCTCGGCACTTTTGCCATTCAACCTGCGCCTCAGCACATCCTCGCCCCTCTTGCCTGGAGTAGCTAGTGCCACGTTCACCGATCTTTTTGCACTACCCAGCTCATTGGTGGCCACGCAGCTGTAGGTGCCTTCCTCTGGCTTGCCAAAGCCAGGGATGAACAGGCTGCCGTTGGCAAAGGCCTGGAAGCGTGGCTGGCTGCTGGCTGCCAGGGCATGTCCATCAGCACCCACGTTGGGGCTGGTGATCTCCACCGTGCCGCCAGGCATCTGGATGTGCCAGTGGAGCTGCGGGGCTGGCTGCCCCTCCACATCACAATGGAGTGCCAGCATGAAGCCAGGCCACAGCTCGGCACCATCCTGACTGGGCTGGTAGGTGAGTTGCGCCAAGGGTGCTGAACAAGGCAGTGGCAGCAGGCGGGTCAGCGGTGTGCCCTTCAGCACATCAGGTGAAGTGCAGGTGATGTTGTCCTGCTCTGGGATGGATGTGGCTGTGGTCAGGGCCCATGTCTTGAACCACATGATGCCACAGGTACACTGGAAAGGGTTGTTATTGATCTGCAAGTGGGACAGCACAGTGAGTGGTGCAAAGGTGCCCTCAGCCAGTGTGTGCAAGCAGTTGTGATTGAGCTGCAGTGAGTGCAGGGCATGAAGACTGTGGAAGGCATCTCGGGGAATGAAGGTTAGCTCATTGTTGTCCATCTTGAGTAACTGGAGGGCACTGAGGTTGTGCAGGTTGCTCCAGGCAAAGTCAGATATGAAGTTGTGGCTAAGGTCCAGGCTCTTGAGATGGCCCAGAGAAGTCAGAGCACCAGCAGCCACTGTGCGAATCTCGTTGTGTGCCAGCCACAGAGACTGCAGCAGGGGCACCTCCCTGAAGGCACCCTCTGGCAAGCTGGACAGCCGGTTGACTGACAGGCTCAATGTGGTCACGTTGGCTAGGAAGCCAGGCGGCACAGCCTCCAGGTCGCGGTAGGCACAGTTGGCGATCTGGAAGCCGTACTTCTCCCCACAGTCGCAGGGCTCAGGACAGGCCTGCCCCAGGCTCAGGAGGACCGCCCAGCACAACAGACACAGCTCCTGCATCCTACCTCCTGCAGGGAAGAACATGCCATCGAGGTGACTCCAAGGATCCATGGAAGATAGTCGTGCCAGTCTGGAACTCAACCCAGAGCTCTTCTCCATCAGAAGGTCTTGCCCCACATAAGCCAGCTAAAACCCAACACCATTTAGCCCAGCACCCTTATTTTACAGAACGGTAAACCAAGGCCTAAAGAAGGGCCAGGACTTGCTCGAGGTCATGCAGCCAGGAGAGGTGACAACAGGATGGAAGAGAATTCTAGCTCCTCCTCTGAGTGGAGAGCTCTCCTTGCCTTGGCCAGTTCCTAGCTGACTTTATTACTTGAAATCTGTTTTCCAGTCCACCCTCCCCCAGCACTCTGCAGAACCTCCCTCCTGCTAAGCATCCAGCCATAGTCCCTCCCACAGGAGCCGCCCAAAAGGCATTCTTTGCCCTAGCCCAGACAAAGTCCCTGATGCGGTGCACCCCACCCCACCCTTCTTGCTCTTACTGGCCCTGACCACAGTAGACACCTTTCTACAGAATCACCCCTGTGGCCTGTTCTGTTAAGTCTATGCCAGGCAGCTGACTAAATAAACCCTGCCGGGACCTCTGGCTATGCCAGAGGCTCAACCCAAATGCTGCTGGGATTTCCGGGCTGTAGTTGTTGCAGATGCCCCTGGATAGGTCCAAACAAGGGATTGTCCAAAGCACCCTAAACCACAGGAGAATGCCCAGGGAACCCCTGGGCCCAGCAGTCCCCTTCTGCTGGCCCGTGGAGCCCTCTTCCCCTTGGCTTACCTTCAAAGTACTCTTTCTTGGCCAAGGAGAGTCTCTCTTAATTTGGAACCAGAAAGCAACAAAAGACAGAGTTAGCCAGGACCGTCTTCAGGGCCAAGGGCAAAGGGAAGAGGGGCTTGCTGGAGGAAGGGGCAGCCTGGTCCCTGCACCCCGAAGCCCGGGACCAGCTGCTAAGAGGAAGCTCCAGGAAGGGGCCCAGGCAGCCTGCACACTCCCTTCCTCCAGCAAAACAACTGCGGCTCTGCACAACCAGGATCTGTTTTTCATAAGTGACATCAGAAATTTGAAGGGGAAGATGCCAATTTTTTTTCTCTCTTTTTTCCCCCTCTGTCTCTCACTTTCAGCAGCTTCAGCTTCCTTAAAGTCACATACTAGCTGGCAGCACCCAAGGAAAGATGGGGCGGAGGGTTTTTATGGTGGGAAGGGTAAGAAACCAAATCTCAAGGAAGATAAGAGACTTCTAATCGCACTTTAAATAAGAAAAAATGGGAGACCGTTTTCTAAGCTGGGGCCATGTGAGTGGTTATGTGTATATTTATATGTACATGTGGGAGTGACAGCTCAGTATGGGAATGAGTTTGTATGTGTGTGGGTGTGAGACTGTGTGAATTTGTGTGTTTATTTGGGAATGTTTAAGTGTATTTGTGTTTGAGTAGGTGTGAGACTGTCTTTGCGTGCTTTGGTCTCTGTGTGTGAGTTTGTACGTGTATTTGGGCATGGGTGCATGTATGCATTTGTGTTAGGAGTGAGTATGAATCTCTGCATCCATGTGTCTATTTGGGTGAAGGGTGTGTCTCAATGTAAAGCTGGAAGTCCCAAATGTATGAAACACTCACCAGGCTTCAAAGCTTCAGTGAGAAGCCAAAAAAGACCTGCTTTTGTAAGAAAACACATTCTTTCCCCCTGTGTTTGGCCTGCCTGCTGGCTCTACAATTGGGCTGCCCTAAACACATGCTGCTATCCAGGGAGATCTCTAGTCTCAGCCCCAGTTCCCCATCGCACTGAGTGGGTGGGTAGTGCTAGGGAGGCAGACAGAGAAGTAATTTGCTCCTACCCAATAGTAGGAAGTTGGGGACAAGAACCACCTGGACTTCTGTTTCCTTTGCTGGGACTATGAGACACCCAGGTTCACAGAGGTGGTTCCATCACCCAGGACTGCCCACCTGGCAGGCAGAGGTGAGGTGGAGGAACTTCACTCTTTCTGGAATATTCTCTGTAGCCTCCCATGATGCTTGGAATCCCTGAGCTCCATGTCCTAACACTACCTGTAAGAAAGGGACATATGCCTTCAGGGTGAGGATATCTGATCCCTTTATTCCAAACCGGATGCCCAAGGAAAGAGGGAATGAGGATAAGAAAGAGACCCCAAACCAAAGCTAGAAGAAAAGCCAAAACATGAAGGAGCCCTTGAAAACTTTCTAGATGGAATATTTTTGCTTTCCACAGCACAAGTCTACTCATGTCCCTTCAGTCCTCCTCCCCAAGTTTCATTTCCTTCTTTCTGTATACCTGGCTGAATTCTCTTCATGACTCAACTTACCCTCTTGGCAGGGCCAAGGTCGAACAGGTATCATCTGAGGCTGAAACTATCTCCAGAGAGCCCCATCCCATCTCATCACATCCTCATTCCCTTGCTACAAAACAAGGCTGCAGAAGTTCTGGGAAGCAGTGTGCTGCCTGAAAAACGCCCTGGTCTGATGCTGAAGATATTCTTAGAGTCTAACTGAGTTCCCTCCCACTGCAGGTGAAGCCCTGTCTGTTATCATCACTATTGTGTAGAGAATTTGGGGAAAGTCCTAAATTTGGTGGGCCAACCAGAAGCTGGAAGCACACACATCCAGAGTTCAGTAAATCAGCGACTTCTGTGCCAGTAAGGCAGGGCTTCCTGGCAGAGGGGCTTCACTGTGCTTCTGCACAGCGCATACACTCTCTCACTCATGCAAGGGCCATGCCACCTCTGAGGAGCTCACAGTCTCTAAACCCCCTGGAAACCCCCCCCCCCCAATCCTCTGAAGCACACCAGGGCTTTAGAATGCAAAGATCCTCCCCATACCTCAGCCCCTTCTGCTGCAGCTGGTTCCTTCTGGCATTTCAGGCTTCCATTATACATCACCTCCTCAGAACATTCCTTCGGATACCTCCCAGGCTAAAGTAGGTCCCCCCATTAATTACACTCACAGACTCCTTGTTTTTTTCTTCAATGCCCTTACTATCATCTTTTTTTGACAGCTTTTGTTTTCCCTAGACTTACTAATTGTCTTTTTCTTGAAGGGTGTGTGTGATGGGGTGATGGTGGAAGCTTAGCTTTATTTATTTAACTTTAAAAAATACATATCACTAATCCAATCTAAGCAGGATGAATCTCCTATGGACCTAGGTAAACACATACTAGTAAAGTTCTCTGTCAAAGGAAGAACTTCTCTTCTGTCGTCTTCTGGAAGAACTCCCTCGCTGAGCCTCTGACCTGCTCAGCTCGGTTTCTTTAGAGGCCTGTGTCCGGATGCTCACAGGGAAAGCCTCCTCCATTACTCAGGCTCCCTGTCACCTCTTGGGTTGGATTTCTTGCTTCCTGGATCCCACCTCATCCCTCACTAGTTTATTCATCTGTTCAACAATGAAACAAAAGTGTACTGGCCATGATAATGAAAGGTATCTTCTTTAGACCAAAAGATGAATTTGGCAACTCCATCTTATATAATAAAAGCCTATTATTCTAAGTGTCTGGTTGTTTGGTCATCTGTTCAACCAATCAAAAAGTAATATGCTAATGATATGCTAAGGCCGCTCAACCACTTGCTATAACATGCACTGACCACCAGGGGGCAGTCAACCAGTCGCTATGACATACACTGACCAGCAGGGGCAGATGCTCCAACTGGTAAGTTAGCTTGCTCCTTGGGTTGGGCCAATCAGAACTGAGCGAGGTGGCCAGAACGCAACCTGGAGCCCTCCTACAGCCCCTCCCTAGCTGGCCAATCTCCTGCCTCCCTTCTCAGCCCTGATTGTGCACAGCTGGGGTCCCTCGACCTGGCCTGTGCCCTCTCACAATCCAAAACCCCTCAGGGGATGTTAGAAAGCCTTTTTTAGCCCAATCCCACTGGACAGGCTGAAGGACCCCACTGGTGCACAAATTCATTCACTGGTCTCTAGTAAAATATAATAGAATTTATTAAAGGGTAATTTGCTTATGTAAAGATTGGGTGGGGATGGAATAGACAACCCAGAAATTCTTTGCAGATTATTCTCCTCTACAGACCCCTGTCTCTGTACTTATTACAGTATAATTCAGGTACTAATGACTGACAAGACAAGGGAATAAGGAATGCAGCAGTACAGGGGCTATCCCTCCTGGTGGTCTTGTGACAGATGATGGTTTATAATTGATACTTTTAACAGTTTGATATTTATCTCAGTTGTCATGTTATTCTGGCTATTACTAATAAGAATATTTATGGCTACATTTAAAGGACCACAGATCACTATAAACACAGGCTTTGTTTGATATGCTTACTAAATATAGTAAATTTGATCAAAGGCCCAGCATAAAACTTAAAAATTAAATTAAATCCTAGACACAGAGATGGAGTTGCTTTTTATATATATATATATATATATATATATATATATATATATATATATATCTATATCTATACAATAATCTCCAATAGCTTCCAGAAACGGTGCATGGGAGATACATATTTTGAGATCTTGCATGTCTGAGAACTCTTTTTTTTAACTCTTTATTTTATTTACAATATACAAAAAAATCTATTACCAGATTGTAGATACAAAATAATTACCATTTACATGCAATAACAATATTTTAAGAAAAATGATTTTAAATATAATAATATATTCAATAAACATTCATATTTCAAGAGAAAATTTTAATTATAATATTACCAAAACTGTAATAACATAGTATAATATCACAGAAATTATAGGAAATATTAAAAATCTGCAAATAACAGGATTACTTCTATTATATTCTAAAATATTTTTTGTACTCTGGCTCTATTTTTGTTCATCAGTTTATGTTTTAATCATATTCCACAAATGAGTGAGATCATGTGATATTTGTCTTTCTCTGACTGGCTTATTTCACTTAGCATAATGCTCTCCAGGTCCATCCATGCTGCTGCAAATGATAAGAGTTCCTTCTTTTTTATAGCAGTGTAGTATTCCATTGTATAAATGTACCACTGCTTTTAATCCACTCATCTGC